CCCACCCCACCCCACCCAAAAAAACACTTCTCTGTTCAAAGTTTTGTCACTGGATTCGGGGAGATCTCGGCGAGCGCAGTCCAACCATGTTTTCAAAAAAATAAAAAAATAAAAAAAATTGACCCTCTTTTGGGCCCAACCGGAATTCCGGTTGGGACCGGTCCAGTCCAACCGGCCGGTTGACGACACAGCCCTGCTTAAACCCCCCAACCCCAACTCCTAAACTTTGACCCCCAAACTATACACCCTATACCCAACACATTCCGGCATGTTGAATCTGTGGACCCTGTCAACTACCATCCCATCCTTAGACCCCCCAAATTCTAAACCCCCCTTTTTTAAGACTTCAACTCCCACCCAAACCCCTGAACTTTGACCCCCTAAACTTTGACCCCCAAACCACAGATCCTACACCCAACACCTTCCAGCATTTTGTACCTGTGGGGCCTGTGAACTACCGTCCAACCCTTAGTCCCTAATGGTTAAACCCCAAACCCTAAACCTTAGGCGCCAAACCCTACCCCCCCCCCCTCCCTCTCTAAAGCTTGACCCCTGAACCACAGACCCTAAATGTGAAACCTAAACCCTATTCCAGCATGTTGTATCTGTGGGGCTTGTGAACCCCCGTTCCTCCCTTAGACCCCTACAATTCGATAGAAAAAAAAAAAAAAAAAAAAAAAAAAAAAAAACTCTTTTAAACCCTCAATTCAGACCCTAAAGTCTAACCCCGAAAATTTAAACCATAGATCAGCCTAAATAAACCCTAAACCACCAAACCTGAAACCTTCACCCCCAAACCACAGACCCTAAACGTGAAACCTAAACCCCATTCCAGCACGTCGTATCTGTGGGGCCTGTGTGAACCACCGTCCAGACTCCAGGCCCCTACAATTCAAAACCCTTTGTCGGTTCAAAAATAGGCTCGGCCTCCGACCTTTCAGGAGGCCGAAACGAAACGACGGCCGCCAATCAGATTTATCAACGGCAGGCTCGGCCTCCTGAAAGTTCGGAGGTAGACCAGTACTTGTCGAAAATAGGCTCGAAGGTACTAGTGGTTTAAACCCCTCAATTCAGACCCTAAACTCCAACCCCGAAAACCTAAACCATAGATTATCCTAAATAAACAACAACCCCAAGCCCTAAAACCTTGTACTCCAAACCGCAGACCCGAAACCCTAAACCTAAATCCAATTCCAGTGTGCTGACCTAGAGAGACCTCGGAGCCAGTGTCCCAGCCTTACCATCTGCACCCAGAGGGAACACACCGTGTTTAAATCTGTATTTGGGGCCGCTTGCGGTCCAGATACCATGAAAATGACCGTTTGTTCTATTCGGGTGAAGACGGTAGTTGCTAAATCTTAGAGAAGGGGGTATCAAAGGAGTCAAAAAAAAAAAAA